GGAGGCCAGCTAGTGTGTGCTGTGCAGGTAAACCTCACTCCTCTGACCTCTAAAGGTGCTCTAGCGACAGACACTAGAGGTCATGGTCTTTAGCCTCCTTGTTAGAGCAACTGACTCCCATGCGGAAGGTCGCCGGGTCGATCCCAGCTCTGAGCGGGTTGGGTGGCGTAGGACCGGCGGGGTTACACATGGATCTGATTTATGCATGAAATATTTGTTTTTTTTATTATATATATTATAATTTTCTGAATGAAGTTGTGACTTGTACTGAGCTAAACACTAAGGATTCTTTTTAATGGCCAGAGCAAAAGATTTAAGAATTTACACAAATCAAACTATGACATTGCTCTGTTAAACATCACTCAGGAAATATGTTGTTCTTCATATGTTCAGTTAAAGGCAGAATTATTCACCCTCCTGTGCAATATTTATTCTTTTTAAACATTTCCCAGATGATGTTGAACAGATTCAGCAGTTGTTCACAGTGTTTCCTCTAATATTTCTTCTTCTGGAGAAAGTCTGATTAGTTTTATTTGGGCTAGAGTAAAAGCAGTTTTTAATAGTTTTAAAGCCATTTTAAGCTCAATATTATTGGCCCCTTCAGCAATATTAGTGTTGGATTGTCTCCAGAACAAACCACTGTTATACAATGACTTGCCTAATTACCCTAACTTTACCCTAATTACCCTAGTGAAGCCTTTACATGTCACTTTAAGCTGAACACTAGTGTCTTGAAGAATATTATGTGCTGTCATCATGACAAAGAGAAAATAAATCAGTTATTAGAACTATTATGAGCAGAATTGTGTTCTCCTTTAAACAGAAACTGAGGGAAAATAATAGCAGGGCTAATAATAATTCAGACGTCAGCTGTAGGTGATGTATGAAGGTCTTGTGTTTGTGAGGATCTCTGTGTAAGCGCTGGTCTGATCCACTGTCTGTGTTTCAGGTGTTCTGGAGATCAGGACGGTTTCTGAGGGCGGCGTTTTGGCCATAAAAGGACTCAAGAGCCAGTTTTATATTTCCATGAACCGCAGCGGAATGTTACAGGGCAAAGTATGAAGCCATCCGTCCTGCAAACACACAACAAACACGGCTTTAATCCGGCTCCAGATAGCGCTTCTCCTGTTTCATGCCTGATTTACGAGTGAAAACTGCAGATGCGCAGCATAATTCAGATGCACAAACAAACGGCTGGACTGACAGGGATTTACAGATTTCCCTGCTCAACAGTCAGTGTTTGTGGATCTGCATCAAATTAACCTCGGCAAATTGCTGTGAAACAAAATGATAAAATATGGGCCAAAATATGGTGACTGTCATTCAGAATAAGAGATAAGTTTATTAGAAGACTAAATTATTATTATTTTTAGATTTCCCAAATGCTGTTTAACAATGCAAGAACATTTTCACAGTATTTCCTATTATTATTATTATTATTATTATTATTATTATTATTATTCAGTAGAAAATCTTTTTTTTGTTTAGTTTTGCAGCAATGTTTTTTATTTTATTTAATTAACTAATGAATTATTGTTAGTGCTGGGCAAGAATGCATCGGGATTAATTGCATTTAAAATAAAAGTTTGTTTTAAGATAATTGAAGTGTGTTTACTGTCTATATTTATTATGTATATAGAAATTACACACACACATGCATTTATTTGAGGAAACATTATATATATATATATATATATATATATATATATATATATATATATATATATATACACAAATTATATATACATTTAAATATCTATGCAACAATGTTTGCATAGTTTTGTTTTTATGTATGTGTGTATCACATCTACATAATAAATATAATTAATATGCACAATATATTATAGGCACAATATATATAATACACAAAACAAACTTTCATTTTGCATGCATGCGATTAATCTTTGCCCAGCACCAACTAATACATACACAGCTAGATAGATCATGTGTCAATATTATTATATAATAAAAATATTAAACAAACCAATAAAAATATTGACATGATATTTATATATATATACAATATATATATACAACCAATAAAAAATCAATCATTTTTGTTTATGTAATAACTGCTGTGCTCTATATTAATAGATTAAGTTTATTTTTAATAATAATTTATTTAATTTTTTAATCAACTTTTTAAATAACACATTTATTTGTCTACAAAACAATCCACTGTTGTCCAATAATTACTCTAATTAACCAACACTGTAAAACCCAACAGTCAGCTTTATCCAAAGTGAGTGAACTCAATATTGACGGAAAGTTAACTCGACTAACTTGAAGTGTTTTAAACTCAGTGTTGAAGGTAAAGAGTTAATTAAATACCTCATTACTTCAACTTAAATGGAGTAAATTCACAGTACTCGTATAGATTAGATTAACTCAAATGGTTTGTTGCAGTCGGGTTCCTCAAACAGTTTGAGTTGCCTTAACTTATTGGGTTTTACAGAACTCAGTTGGTTTGAGTTCTCTTCATTTACTGGGTTTTACTGAGCTCAAATTGCTTCGTTTACTTAAATGGATTAAGTTCACAGTACTCATTAGGATTAGTTTTTAAAGTTAAATGGTTTGTAGAAATCGGTTTACTCAAATGTTTTGAGTTATTTTAACTTTTTAGGCTTTACAGTGTAGTGAAGCCTTTAAATGTCACTTTAAGCTGTATATTAGTGTCTTGAAGAATATTTAGTCTAATATTATGTGCTGTCATCATGACAAAGAGAAAATAAATCAGTTATTAAAATTATTACGATTAGAATATGTTGGAACAAAATCTTCTCTCTGTTGAACAGAATTAGGGGGGGAAACCTAATTAAAATTTAAGAGAAAAGCTAATAATTCTAACCTCAATTGTATTTATAATTAAACTTAATCTATAATTAATTCATTCATTCATCAAACTTTCTGTATTAGGTATTCCGGTTTTAATAATAATAATACAAATATAATAATAATAATAATAATAATAATAATAAAGACAACAATAATAATAATAATAATTGCATTATTAATATTATTATTATTATTATTAACAATAATAATAATAATAATAATAATAATAAATAAACAATAATAAATAAAAACAATAACAACAATAACAATAATAATAATAAAAATAATATAATAATAACAACAATAATAAACAATAACAATATTATTATTAATAATAATAACAATAATTAATCATAATAACAACAATAATAATAATAATAATAATAATAATAACAATCATAACAACAATAACACTACTAATAAAAACAATAATAATAACAATTATAATAATAAAAAACTATAATAATAATACTAATAATACTAATAACAATAATAATAATAACAATAACAACAATACTAATAATAACAACAACAACAATAATAAACTATAATAATAATAATAACAATAACAACAATAGTAGTTATAATAATAACAATAATAAAAATAACAATAATAACAGTAATAATTATAATAACAATAATAATAATACTAATACTAATAATAATAATAATAATAATAATAATAATAATAATACCTTATATGTATAAGTGCCTTTCAAAGCACTCAAGGACACCTTACAATATGTCACAGGCGCATCATAAAATACAAGACAGAAGAATAATAAACATAATATTAATCTAGAAACTCATTAAAGCAGTCGTTACTGTGTGAAGTTATTGTGTATATGGTGTATTTCTACAGTAAGCAAGCAAAATCACAGCTGTGTTTTGTGTTTGCCTCTTATCCGCTGTCTTGATCTCCACACAGAAAGACTACAACGACAGCTGCGACTTTAAAGAAGTGTTTTTAGAGAACTACTACACGGCGTACTCGTCTGTCAAATGGACTAAAAACGGCAGAGAAATGTTCATCTCTCTGTCGCAGAAGGGCCGGCCGCTGAAAGGCAAGAAGACGAGGAAAGAGAGCGTCGCTTCTCACTTCATCCCTCGAAAGTGCAGCGAGGACGAGAAGAAGCTGGCGTAGAGGCCGCATTATCAAGACTCTCTGACGCTCATATAGCAGCACGTCATGTAAACAAGCAGTGTACACAGTTATAAATACTCCTCCGTGTTTAGAGATCAAACTATTTTTATATTTCAGAGAGAATAAGCAGAGCGTCTGTGTTTCTGTCCGCTGCACTTTCACCACCATTAGAGCCACTTACAATGCAAACGCCAAATAAACAGCGCTGTGTGTGTTCTGTGTGTGCCGTTAAACATCACACACCTCCCGTTTATATCCTTTGATTCATATAAATATACATACATGCGCCTCATTTAGCTCCAGACATTCCCTTCTCCTTTACAGTCCTCCAGTGCTGAAGATAACTCCAGCTTCCTTATTGCACTTCTGTCTTGAAGTACATGCAGAAAACATCAGTGAAAGTGTGTTAAAGTGCTGATGTCAGTCAGTAGGTGGCGCTGTGACAAACACTACACTTACTAGTGAGACACTTTCACTCCATCACACTAGCTGGGTTTCCATCATCTTGTGTTAATGCTTATTTTAAAGTATGCCACAAGAAGCAAATGACAGAAGAGCTCATTTAGAATAATAGTCATTAAATTAGCAAAAAAAGCTTAATTAATTATTTATTTGTCATTTTATTATGCTTGAGGTGGTTTTGCACTTTTTTTGTGAAAATGAATATAATGCTAATAATGTGAGATGGAAACACGTTTGCTGAATATAATCTTGGGTAAACAAACATCACACCTACATGAACCCGTTATGCTGGCCTCGTTTACAGTTGGTTGCTAGGTTACCAATACTACAGTCAGCTGCTCTAATATCGTGATGGAAACACACATAATTACGGTGGCTTGAGAAAGAAATTCTACATAAACGTATAATTATTCTTCCGTCTTCTTCTTCTTCCGTCTTCTGAGACTAATTTTAAAGTGTATTTCCTCCTAAGCCTTTCACGCTACATACTTCAATCTTTCGTCAAGCCTTCAAACTGGTCTGACTCGGGTTGCTTTGTCTTTTCTAACTGATCCAACTTTCAGTTTTCCGAAAAAGGGCCCAGAAAATTCCCAAAAGTCCCATTGACTTAACATTGGGTCAAACTTTGTGAGCTCATAACTCTGCATCAGACTGTCCTACAGCACTTTTCCCGGGAGTCTCCCATATTTCAGACGCATCTCCCGTATTGTTCTGTTCAGAAAACTCCCGTCTAGCCAGCAGCCAATTACTAATGACGTTTAAACTTACTAGCCAGTCCCTAGCAACCAATTTCAGCACCCTAGTAACTGTCCTATAGGTTACCAATACTACAGAGAGCCACTCTAAAAACTAAATGTAAATGGATCTAATTCACATTTTGCGATTCATCGCAGTTCACAAATGTTAGCTTCTCATGAGGATGGAAACCCGGCTATTGTCAAACTGATTCCAGTTCACGGAGATCAGTGAAAGTGTGCAAAAGCTCTGCATTGCTGATGTCTGTCAGTAGGTGGCGCTGTGTCAAAATACTTCATGATATGTTTTCACTAAATCACACTAGCTGGGTTTCCATCATTCTGTGTTCATGCTCATTTTGAAGTATTGCATAGGAAAAAAATACATTTTGCATTAAAAAAATTATAAATAACGATAAAAACAACAAAATTGGAAAAAAATGTACACAAAGTCGAGGTGCTTCTGCTCTTGTGTGTACAAGGAACAATTCAAATAATGACAGATGGAAATACGTTTGCTTAAAAAAAACAGGCGTAACAAACACTGCACCCATGTGACTCCATTATGCTCGCCTTGTTTACTGTTGGTTGCTAGGTTACCAATACTACAGTCGGCCACTCTAATAACTTGATGTAAACTTGCATTTGTGATTTTTTTGTATTTTCTGGCACATTTTGAACAGATTTCCTTCACGTTAGGATGGAAACCCAGCTACTGAGAGCAGAAATGTGTCTTTTTAGCCTCAAAAACAGGATTTTCGCTATCAAGACACTTTAAGAGTGTTCTCTTATTGAAACGGTGTTGTGAGAACGGCTATTTATAGGAATTTATTTATTTATTTTCCCCTCATAATCTTACATCTAAACCTGAAATATCTCTCCTGTCTATAGTCGATCCCTGAACTGATCTGCATATTGAGATTTCCCTGTCCGATCGGGATTAAATCAAGTCAAGCCGTGTCCCTCTCCGCCTGGATCAATGGTGGTAAACACATTCTGATGAGATGCCTCATGATGTTTTATGGTATTTCGTTTTCCACATAATCTCTCCGACGTGATTGTGTCCATGTGTTGTTGTGTGTTATTTATGATATTTATGTGTCGCTGGCTCTGAATTGTCTGTATTGGGGATCGCTGTGCTACACACACACACACACACACACACACACACAGCGAGTTTGCAGGACTTCACATTTTGCTGCTAGAAACAAATAAAGTGAAATCTAAGGTTTTATATGAGTATAGATCAGTTTCAATAAAATATGTATCTTTGTATGGCGTGGTGTGTTGTGATTTTTGTTCACTGCAAAAAACTGAACATTATAAGCATGATCAGCTTTAAAAATCATTAACTATCAACCTGAAAAACATTACTGAACACATATCAACACAACGGTGGATTCAAGCCTTACAGCTGAGAGAAGTTTCCCACAATGCAGCGTTAGCAGACCTCTCTATAGTTACTGAACAGGTCTTTACTAACTATAACAATTGTAAGATGAGTAGGGCTCATTTGATTGGCTGCCAATGGTTTAATTGATCATCAGCTGGAGCAAATCAATAAATCACACAGTAGAGTGACACTTTTCAGCAGTGTGTGTTCTAGAAGAGTTTTCACGTTCATTTTGCCCATTGAAATGTGTCAGGGTGGCTCAGTGGTCAGCACTGTGGTGTCACAGTAAGAAGGTTGCTGGTTTGAGTCTTGGCTGGGTCAGTTGGTGTTTCCGTGTGGAGTTTGCATGTTCTCCCCGTGTTGGTGTGGGTTTACTCCGGGTGCTCCGGTTTCCCCCACAGTCCAAACACATGCGCTATAGGGGAACTGATCAACTACACTGGCCATAGTGTATGTGTGTTTGTGTGTGTGAATGAGTGTGTATGGGTGTTTCCCAGTTCTGGGTTGCAGCTGGAAGGGCATCTGCTGTGTAAAACATTTGCAGAAATAGTTGACGGTTCATTCCACTGTGGCGACCCCTAATGAATGAACTAAGCTGAAGGAGAATCACTGAATGAATTTTGCCCATTGAGATTTTAAAAGTCTTGGCTAAAGTGTTATAAAGCATGAACCAAAGCCGTCAGCTCTGCAGATAATCACACTCGAGTGGATGAAAACTGAGAAAAAACATCTAGAATCATATCTGGTTTTGCAAAGCATTTATATTTGCCTATAGGCCATTTTGAGGGATTGAACAGTAATAACGGTCCTAACCTATTTCCAGATTTACATCTTTACATGCCTCAGGGTCCAAGAGGTTCCACATATTGACAAATAATGTTATGAGAGCTGTTTTATTGTTAAGTCATGACGGAATTGCCTCAATATAAAACTAGTTTGACAACAAGCAGGAAATGTTCATGGGCCAGTGACATCGCCACACTGACATGATCATGCTCTCTGATTACTGATTATTGATTTGATGATTAGATGTGTGTATTTCAATAATGGAGCAAAGTCATAGCTTATGGAGTTTAAACTAAACATGATTCCTATGACGTAAAGAAGAAGTGCTTGATGACCACGACACACACACACACACACACACACACACACACACACACACACACACACACATCACACACACACATCACACACACACATCACACACACACACACTCGTGCAGCACTCTTTACAGTCTCCCCATAGCTTTAATGATGTTTCTACAGGGGTGCGTTTCCGAAAACCATCAGTAGCTAACTAAAGTTGCATGTTCCGCCATTACAAACATAGTCCTTTGATTTGGCGTTTCCTAAATCCTTTGTTCTAACAAATATTTATAAACTGTGTCACAAACTTGTACACTTGCAACTACACCTCTAGAGCTGTGGTTAAGCAGAGTTCCTGGCTGTGTTCTATTCCCAGTTATTCCCCCTATGCTCTATTCCTTTTGAACCTTCCAACATTTAAACTTGAAATGATTTAAATATATATATGAAGAGTTTAAATGCAAAAACCTCTAAGTGCCGTCTCAAATTTACATTGAAAATGAAAATAATAAACATTCAGCCTTCTTTGTTTGTTTAGTTATTTTACTATAAAGACCAGGAAAATGACATATTCTTTGCTATAAATGGGACCTGAACACAGGATCCTGATAAAAATGCTCATTTTAGAGCAGAAGTTCAGAAGGCATTTAGAGGTTTTTGCATCTGAACTCTTTATACAGCTGTGGCTCATGATGAAAGCTATAGGTGACCTGTTATTTAAATGCAGAATTTATGTTACATCTCCAAAGCTATATATATATATATGTGTGTGTGTGTGTGTGTATAAGTATCTTTATCCTCCTAAGGCTCTTAAGAAACAGTGTCATCCTGCAACGGTTTTGCAGCATATTTCTCAAACCCTATTTTTAACTGTTCAAAATGGAGAAAATGCTGTTTTTACTCTCTAATAGTCAAAACATGTTAAAAAAAAGTTCTATGTTAAATATGCATTACAAAACAGTCAGGAAAAAGTGTTTTATGTAAATTCAGACCACGAGTCCACATACGTGAACATCATTTTTCTCTAAAAGTACATCATATCAAAAGATGATACTTAGGTTTTATTCTAATAAGGTTCCAATAAGCTCAAATAGCAAAGAGAAATAAAAACTGCATGTAGAAAACAGCTTGGGCCTTAAGAGGGTGTCTGACATGGGCCTGCAGTGGTTTAATTGTGTCAAATTTTAAACTTTTACAATAAATAAAATAAATGAGATCATACTTAATAACAATTTTTAAAAATATTTAAATATACAGTTGAAGTCAGAATTATTAGCCCCCTGTATTATTAGCGACCCTGTTTATTTTTTTCCCCAATTTCTGTTTAATGGAGGGAAGATTGTTTCAGCACATTTCTAAGCATAATAGTTTTAAAAACTTATTTCTAATAACAGATGTATTTTGTCTTTGTCATGATGACAGTAAATAATATTTTACTTGAAATTTTTCAAGACACTTCTATACAGCTTAAAGTGACATTTAAAAGCTTAACTAGGGTAATAAGGTGCACTAGGCAGGTTAGGGTAATTAGTCAAATTATTGTATGATGATGGTTTGTTCTGTAGACTATCCAAAAAAGAATTAGCTTAAAGGGGCTAATAATTTTGTCCCAAAAATGTTTTAAAAAAAATTAATAACTACTTTTATTCTAGCTGAAATAAAACAAATAAGACTTTCTCCAGAAGAAAAAATATTATCAGACATACTGTAAAAATGTCATTGCTCTGTTAAACATCATTTGGGAAATATTTAAAAAAGAAAATAAAAATCAAAAGGGGGCTAATAATTCTGACTTCAACTGTATATATATATTATTATTGTGTAGGATTTTCCCTTCATTTCCTAGCTTACAGTAAATTATATCCATTAGCCTAATAATTTATATATGACATTACAGTGAGTGTTAGCTAAGTGGTTTTACGTTTTTTAATGGAATTTTCTCAATAATATTAGTAAAGCAAACACAGGCCCTATATGTGCTGTTTACATTATTTCAGTGTAATATGGAGAGCGAGTGCATGTTTTTATCAAAACTAATATTGGATTTTTTAATGTGTGTGTGTGTAAAACAATATCATGTGCACAAAAGTGATGGGGTTTTTCTCTAGAGAAGTTGTTCCTCCACCCCGTTCAGAGCATCATTATTGATCTGCGACAGAGAAACTGGGGGTTATGGGAAACACTCATCACTACATCGTTCTTTTCCCAAACAATGCATCATACTATGATAGTTCAGCCGGGAGTTACGCTGTTGTTTGGGAAACACACCCCTGACTAAGCCTGTAGAGGTGCAGATGGTCTCATGATTCCTGCTCTACAATCTGCTGCTCTGAATGTCTGAGTGATAAACAACAGTGTTCCCCCACTGAACACAGTATATCTGACCTGAAGACACAGTAGTGCACATAGCACACACTCTCACTCACATGCACACAGGCACACACACCCACAAAGAAAAACACACACATACAGACACACACACACACACACACACACACACAACCCCCCTTTGACCCAAACAAAGTCAGAGTAAGGTGAGCGCTTCTGCCAAGTCACGCAAAGTTGGTTTTAGTGGATAATTTGTAACATGTTCTGAATGTAAACAGAGTCTGGGTGAGCGGCGGCTGACAACCACACACACACACACACACACACACACACACACACACACACACACTTTTAGCAGATAAGAGTCAAATCCAGTTGCTCTTTACAGTTAGCCTATGTGTGTGTGTGTGTGTGTGTGTGTGTGTGTATTTATGTATGTATTATAAAATCATCTCTCCTTCATCTGTGAGTTTGCTTGTGTGTGTGTGTGTGTGTGTGTGTGTTATAAAATCCTCTCTCCTTCATCTGAGTGTGTGTGTGAGAGAGAGCGAGGGTGTGTGTGTGTCTGTCAGTGTGTGTGAGGGAACACATTTGAGTTGTGTGTCTGTTATAAGCTCATCTCTCCTTCATCTGTTAGTGTGTGCGTGCGTGTGTGCTTGTGTGCGTGTGTGCTTGTGTGTGATACTGGACTTCAGAGGATCTCTAGCCAAATCAAGTGGTGTGTGTGTGTGTGTGTGTGTGTGCGTGTGTGTGTGCGTGTGTGTGTGTGTGTGTGTATTCTGGCAGTGTAACATATAAAGACGTCAGTTGAGTTTATCACAGAGCTGAATCTAAACGGAGCTGTTAAAGCCTAAAACAACACACAGATTAAACACACATGACTGAATCCTCCACAGCATCACACACACACACACACACACTCCACTACTGACACACAAAATAAGGATATCGGTCAGTTTACATACACCAAGGGGTCAGACAGACAAATACATTCCGATTTAAACAATTCAGACATATAGAGTACAGCACACGCTGTTGTTGAGTCCATGTAAAGGCACAGAACTCAGAGTAATGTCAATTGTCATCATTTATTCATTGAACACTGAAGAAGATATTTTGAAGAATGCTAGAAACCTGTAGGTTTAAAACCACTGGAGGGAGAGTAAACACTGAGTAAATGTTCATGATGGCGTGAACTGTCCCTTTAAGAATTACATTTCAGCCACAAAACTCTCGTTAATTGTGATCTGAAATTATTATTTAACCCATGTTGACTACAGAATTAGCTTTAGTTTAATCCGTGATATGTTTATGTAAGAATAATGAGTTGTGTCCTCATCTGTGACAGAGATATCTGTTGTGCTGAAATACGCTGAACACGATTCCACTGAACTGACCTGAACAGTACAGCAGACACTCCACCTGCAGGTTATGTGCTCTATTAATAGAACATCTGTGCATTTAATCGGCTGCAGACTGCAGAATTCCCCTCTGTGCTTATATTTCATGATGTTGATCTACATATAATAAAACACGGCACTAAGAGAAATAAATATACCATATAAATACCCTGACAAAAGCCACAGCGCTGTGATCTGCATTAACTGTATGATGGCCTTAACATCTGTGTGTGTGTGTGTGTGTGTGTGTGTGTGTGTGTGTGTGTGTGTGTGTGTGTGTGCGTGCAGTTTGACTCCAGATGTGCGTGACCTCTTGTGACCTCCAGGAGGCCATAATCAGACACTAGACAGGAAGTGCACAATCACAGACTGAAGATCAGATCATAACAGATGAGGAAAAATCCTGCCGAATCCATTAAGACGAACCCGATTAGGTCTAATCACACACTGGGTCCTGACGTTCTGTTATACCGTATTTGTGCTTAATGTTCAGGTGAAATGTTATTTTCACTGCTTAAATGTTATATTTCCAACATATAACGTCAACTCATTTTTGTCTACAATATAATAATGAAATATATAATGCGATTACGCCACTGTGATTTACTTGAATACTTTAGTAAACATTATTTTTATTCAGCTTAGTCTCTCTTTCAGAGGTCGCCACAGCAGAATGAACCGCCAAATATTCCAGAATATGTTTTACACAGCGCATACCCTTCAGCTGCAACCCAGTACAGGGAAACACCCCCACACACTCATTCACACACACACTACGGCCAGTGTAGTTGATCAGTTCCCCTATAGCGCATGTGTTTGGACTGTGGGGGAAACCGGAGCACCCGGAGGAAACCCACGCCAACACAGGGAGAACATGCAAACTCCACACAGAAACACCAACTGAGACTTGAACCAGCAAGACTTGAACCAGCGACCTTCTTGCTCTGAGGCAATTGTGTTACCCACTGCGCCACCATGACACCACTATTTCCAACATATATTGTCAATAACTTTTTGTCTTTAAATATTAATAAAATGTTTAATAAGATTAGGCCACTGTGATTTCCTTAAATACTGTATTGAATATTATAATATGTTAAAATATAATAATATAATATTAAAATATAATATAATATATTATAATATAATATAATATAATATAATATAATATAATATAATATAATATAATAAAATATAATATAATATAATAAAATATAATATAATATAATATAATAAAATAATATAATATAATAATATAATAATATAATATAATATAATATAATATAATATAATATAATATAATATAATATAATGTAATAATATAATATAATATAATATAATATAATAATATGATATAATAATATGATATAATATAATATAATGATATAATATAATAATATAATATAATAATATGATATAATAATATATTAATATAATTTAATAATATGATATAATATAATAATATAATATAATATAATATAATATAATATAATATAATATAATATAATATAATATAATATAATATAATATAATATAATATATGTAACACAATTCCCTATTTGGATGGCAGAACGTGAAACTACACTATCAATATTGTAGATTCATCAAATAATTCCAATTAATTAACTTGTTAAAGACAGAATTCATAGATTTTTGTATTTAATTGCTCTTTCTTCACTGCCTTTAGTAACCAATCTAAAGATATAATAATAAGAATAATGGAGAGGAACTCAAAAGTTTAATTGTGAAATAAAAATTAAGAGCTTTTAAACTTTTGTTTAAGGTTTACAAAACAAATTCAATTAGGAACAAGTCTGTCATGTAATAGATCAGCTGAGAGACAGAAATATGACCTTACAAACCGTATTGTTCATAACTCATCTAAACATCAGCATATTATCCAATAGTATTATTGAAATCAAAATAAATGCTGAGCGAATATACATTTACACACATCGGCATTAACATTTGTAAATAAATGGATGGTAAATGTGTGTTTTCTGGGGGTGTAAACTGCTTTTGGGTCTAATAAATTGTAACCAAATTTACTATATATAAAAGAGAAAGTGGATCAAGTAAAGGGGACTCTGTGTGTTTCTCCTGCAGAGGGCGCCGATCGCTATTTCTGCTGGTGAACCCACTGCGGTATGAGCTCAAACTCCTGAAAATACTATAGTAAATCACTGTGATCTGTGCTCAGGATACATCAGTGGAATATTGTGTTGTTTACTAAATGATCTATCATTATAGTTCTGGTAGAGGATACAGAGCATAAACAAACACAAGTGGGAAATCTTCTATACCGTCTGCCATTACTTTACTGAACAAACCACCATTCGACTGTTTTGTGACTTTAACTGATGCATTTTCCAATGCTTTTATAAATCTGACTACAGTTTAATTAATATTTTAACAGCCTAAATGTTGTGTTGGTAATCCATGAGTAATATGCTTTTGTGTTTAGTGTATTTATTAGTGTATTAGTGTCACATATTAAGTCTTTAATATTAATGTTTGTAGTATGTTGCATTCAGTATGAAGATAAAAGTGTTTTAAATAGATGCGCACTAACCCAAACAGCAGGAGCAGAATTATTTACATACAATAATAATAAAGGCACAGTAATGAAAGAAGTCATTTTAATTTATGATTCATTCATTTTCTTTTCTGCTTAGTCCCTTTGTTTATCAGGGGTTGCCACGGTGGAATGAACTGCCAACTATTCCAGCATATGTTTTGCACAGCGAATGCCATTCCAGCTGCAACCCAGTACTGGGAAACACTCATACACACTCATTGACACACTTGTACACTACGGCTAGTTTAGTCCAACTGAATAATCAACTGACCCAGCTGGGACTTGAACCAGCAACCTTCTTGCTGTGAGGCCACATTGCTTACTCACTGCGCCACCCTTAATTTATGATTTACTAATTATTAATTTTTTCCCAGTGATGGGTTGCAGCTGGAAGGGCATCCGCTGCGTAAAAACGTGCTGGATAAGTTGGCGGTTCATTCCGCTGTGGCGCCCCGGATTAATAAAGGGACTAAGCTGAAAATAAATAATTATTAATTTATTGACACTGCTCTGCAACGTCTCTGATTGGTGTTTACAGACTTGTGGGCGGGGTCAACCGGGGTAAAGTCTAGATGGGATACAGCTAAGGACTCTTACAATAATAAACCTCAATGTTTGTGACACTGGACAATAATAATTCATATTTTCACGTTACTGTGAGGGTTGGGATGTTAAAACAACAGGTAATTCAATAAATAATAACTGTTAACTTCTGGCTGCAGCTCAGTGGTCAGCACTGTGGCCTCACAGCAAGAAGGTTGCTAGTTCAAGTACCAGCTGGGTCAGTTGGTGTTTCTGTGTGGAGTTTGCATGTTCTCCTCGTGTTGGTGTGGGTTTCCTCCGGGTGCTCCGGTTTCCCCCACAGTCCAAACACATGCACTATAGGAGAACTGATCAACTAATCTGGCCGTAGTGTATGAGTGTGTGTGTGAATGAGTGTGTGTGGGTGTTTCCCAGTACTGGGTTGCAGCTAAAAAAGCATCTGCTGTGTAAAACATAATCTGAAATAGTAGGCAGTTCATTCTACTGTGGTGGCCCCTGATGAATAAGGAACTAAGCTGAAGAACAATGAATGAATGAACTTCTGCCCAGAGCTGTATCCCTTCTACTAACAACCATCAACATGTCACTCACATGAGATCCACCAATAAAACACACACACACACACAGACACACACAGACACATACACACACACACACACACACACACAATAGAACAGCGCTGATGTGTTCTACAGTTTGAGCCTGATCATCCTCTAAACACCTGTTTCACCTGTAAGCTGTATTCTCCATGATGCAGCAGCGTCTCAGTGTGTGTTTGTGCTGGTGATCTCCATCTCCGCTGAGGGCTGAGGGCTGAGTGTGTCTCTGTGGAGCCGGACGCGTTTCCAGAGCGCCTGCAGGTCCGTCTGAAGGGATTGAGCCGCTCCGATGGGGAAACACTCTCTGGATCTCAGAGCTTCATGTATTTCTGCAGATCCACACCAGACAGAGGACACTTCTTGTGGATCCTCATCACAGGACACCGGCCAGTCCACCTCAAACACACACACACACACACTTGATTATTTTATTAGAAATGACTGATTTAAAAAACACTGCATTCAATTAATCTCAAATAATACAAAACATATACAGACAGATTATTATCTTTTACAGGACATTATTAATAAACACAAGTCACTTCTACCCGAAATTAAACACCTGCATACTAAAGACAGAGATGACATCATCTTTTCCAAGCATGCACACTATTATCACTGCAGACACAGAGCGGCATTTGGTCATTTGTAAGAGTGTTTCTTACTCAGTGCAGCTTATGAATCCTCTCACACACAGTCTATGAGGCTACTGTACACTAAAACAACCAACACACAGGTTACTATCACTATCAAAGTGACGACTTCACATAGACTTCCAGGTTAATGACAGTATCTATGGCCTAACACTAACCCAACCCTCACAAAAACAACTGTACATCATCAGATACTAATAAAAACACCTTCCTGCTGATTTATAAGCACTTTTAATAAGCAAGGACCAGTGAAATGGCAACACTAGTGGTGGTATATTTTGATATTTCACTATATAAAAAACAGAAAAGTATAATTAAACCAGTACACACACACACACACACACACACACACACAAACACACACACACACACACACAAGAGCAAGCAGCAGGGGTGTCCAAACTCAGTCCTGGAGCACCGGTGTCCTGCATATTTTAGTTCCAACCCCAATTAAACACACCTGAACCAGCTAATCAAGCTCTTTCTAGGTATATTAGAACAGTGTTTCTCAACCACGTTCCTGGAGGCCCACCAGCACTGCATGTTTTGGATGTCTTTTTTGTCTGTCATGCCCATTACCGGTCTTCAGTCTCTGCTGATGAGCTGATGATCTGATTCAGGTGTGTTTGGTAATGGAGACATGGAAAATGTTTAGAGCTGGTGGTCCTCCAGGAACGTGGTTGAGAAACACTGCATTAGAAACTTCAGGGAAGTCTATTAAGAGAAGGTGGAGCTAAACTATGCAGGATATCTGCCCTCCAGAACTGGGTTTGGACACTTCTGAACTAGTAAAAGATGATTAGCTGGTTAAGGTGTGTTTAATTGGGGTTGGAACTAAAATATGCAGGACACCGGTGCTCCAGGACCAAGTTTGGACACCCCTCGTACATGTACACACACACACACTACTGTACTACTAAACACACTCTTTTGCTTATTTCTGCTGTCTATTCCATGCTCAGTCATATTGAGAAAGACTTAATGAGAAAGAAAGTGTGCAATATATCAAGAAACTGAATTTAAAAGGATGTAAAACACAAGTATGAGCAGCATTAATTAAGATATTAATCTAATATTTCACATGAGCAGAAATCATAACGAATATGAATGTTCATTATTGTCAAACCTGTTGCTCTAGACCAGGGGAGCACCGGTGTCCTGCATATTTTAGTTCCAACCCCAATTAAACACACCTGAACCAGCTAATCAAGCTCTTTGTAGGTGTGTTGACGGAAGTTGGAGCTACACTATGCAGGACACCGGTCCTCCAGGACCGAGTTTGGACACCCCTGCTCTAGACCTTTTCATTATTTGTTTACATTTCTGCTTGATTTTTTTTTTTTTTTTAGCTATTGGAAGTTTAAAGTACTTTAAATGTGTTTACAGTCCAAAATATGACAATAATTGATCATTAACAGGAGCAATAATCGGCTAAATATTGTTCGGTTCAGAAGGTTTGTTTACATTCTGATCTCCAACATGGCCGACTCGTGCACTGGGAAAAGCACAAACCTCAACAAACAATGCAGATAATGAACAAAGTGCTTCTTTTGAAGTTACAATAAAGATGATGAGATATTTTTAATTGGTCAGTGTTTAATTATTGATCTTTGAAAAGGAAAAAAGTGCAATATCTAAGTTTTATTAATCACCAGTACCGATACTGCTAACGTTAGTTACCATCACCATATGATTATGAGAGATCATTTGCCCACCTGTGAAAATCAACTCCATCAGAGTGTCCGTTTGTTTTCAGCGTGTATCTCATCAATATTTGTGATTATTAATTGATCTGGGTTTTATGGCTCGGAAAAGATGAAGGAACAACCGTTATTTGAATATTCGCTGTGATTGGTCAGTTTACCCTTTCGCTGACCTCATTAATATTCATGTCAATTTAATTTTATTTTGATCTTATTCTATAAAGCTGTTTTATTTTATAACTGTAGTCGGTTATGTAGATATAAATAATTCTACACATTTGTGAGTCACATTAAACTGAATAATGTAGTGTTAAACCGAAACGAGGAAGCTCATGAATATTCATATATGTTCAGTTGAGAGCAAACAAATCTCTCTTTATAAGTAATGCCAGTCATCGAACTCTAAATCAGCTCTAACTTGTACAGTTTGATAAAAGCAGCACAATAAAGCTTGAAATGTTTATAAAGTGAGAATTAATCAGCTGTTTCCCATTATGTCAGTAATACTGCGCGAATATCAACTGTAGTGCTTCACTCTGCTTGCCGGTTATCTGCACTCACCAGTCCCTGAGCGCGGATGAACTCCTGCAGGGAGTGAATGCTGCTGTTTGCGGTTTGTTTCGGGTTTTCCATCTTTTAACCGCGTCCGTGTCGGTTGCCCGGTAACCGCGAGACACTCCTCCTGCTTCGGTTGTTGCTAATATATTATTTGTTTATTTTATGAACGTCTACTTTAAACACAACGCTAAACCCAACCATCACAGTAATGTAAAAATGTGAATCAATGTTGAACAGTGTCACACAAGCGGCCGCAGCTGTATCCCTTTAGCTCTTCGAGTAAAGTCTAGAAGGGATACAGCTGCGGATACTAGCATACGTTTGTGACAATGTACAATAATAATTGTTATTTTTACATTACGATGTGGGTTGGAGTAGGGATATACGTTTATAAAATGCAATTTGACTGATAATAAATTATAAGAGTTAAACTAGTTAACTTCGCAGCTGTATCCCTTCTAGCAGACACCGGGTTTCCGCAAGCACGCGATTGCTTCCGGTGTATGGCGCACACGTGGGTTTGTTGTGATCCTCCGCGGTTGCCGGTTGTGTTCGGTTGATTGCAGCGGTGATGTCGGAGGATCCTCAGCCGGAGAGCAGCGCCCTGAGCGGCCTGAAAATCGCCTCGCACGCGCCGCTGGATGACGCGCAGCGAGCCGGCAGGATGAAGTGCACGCGCTGCGGATGCTCGCGCATGTTCTTCTGCTACAGCTGCGGCGCGCTGGTCGGACTGCAGCCCGGGGACGTGCCGCGGGTCACGGTGATATACTAATGCTGTAGAACATGTTCAGTTAAAGGAGAGCTGATCTGCCTCTTATTACAAGCGTCCCTAAAGTGACAGATGTAAATCAGCTCTGTGTATGTGTGTGTGTGTGTGTGTGTGTGTGTGTGCGTGTGTGTGCTTCAGTGTGAGTGTGTGTTGATGCTTCTGTCAGTCTATGTCGCTCCTGTCTCTGTTCATCTAGAACTGCACATCTATAATCCTCTTAGTCTATGCTGACATCATTTTCAGCAGCTCAAACACTCTAATGGCTAATGGACAGACGGCTGCTTCTCACTCAGGCCTGCTGGATATGCTAATGAGATGGGCACTCGTGGGCGGGGCTTGATGACACGTACTAAGGGAGAATGTCAATCAAAGTGTTTCAGTCATCAAGTCTGATTATAATAATAATCAACAGTTAACTCATGTTGAGCATTAGAGGCTGCTGGAGATACACACACACTGCTCACACATGACAATAAAATATGTGTGTGTGTGTGTGTGTGTGCGTGTGTGCGCGCTGTTTCAGCTGCCAGTGAAGATTGACATCATCAAACACCCGAATGAGACAGACGGGAAGAGCACCGCAGTTCAGGCCAAACTCCTGGCACCGCAGGACGTCACCATACACACCTACCCCTGCATCCCTGAGCTGGACCAGAGCGCAGAGAACGTCAGTCACACACACACACACTCATACTATCTCACATACACAAATCTACACTCACTCAAACACACTCTCTCTGTCTGCTGTATATCTGCTCCTCGTCCTCCTGCAGATCGTGCTGGTGTTTCCTGGTCCGGATGCGATGTCGGTGGAGGAATTGTGGGAGTATTTCTGCGCTGACGGACGGCCGAGAGTGAAGAGAGTGAAGGCAGAAGCTGAGAGTCTGCGCTGCCCCATCCAGAGGGTGGTGTTCATCGACAGCACCTGGAACCAGACCAGCAGAATCATCACCGACGAGAGGCTGCAGGGTGTGTGTGTGTGTGTGTGTGTGTGTGTGTGTGTGTGTGTGTGTTCATGTTCAGCACACCCCAAAACACTCAGAATCAGCAGCGTTCTGTCAGCAAGGATTGACCCAAATAATGCACATTACCCTCAGGTGTACATTTGCCTGTAAAAGCTGACATCATGACTTTAAAAGATTCTAACGAAGTCAAAATAATTGAAATTAAGTAGGTCATCATTTCGATTTCATCCCGTAATTTTGATTTAGAACATCCTCATTTCAACTTTTTAATCTCGTAATTTTGACTATCTCACCATTTCAACTATTTTAAGTCATTATTTTTTTTGTCATAATTTTGACCTAATCTCACATTTTCAACTATTTAAATTAATTTTTTTTTTTACTTTTTATCTCATCATTTTGACTCAGTAATTCATAATGTTGACTATTTAAGTTTTTCCTCATAATTTTGATTAAAGCCATAATTTTGACTTTGCTTGAAATTAAAAACTTAATAAGTCAATTTTGATTTAGTGATTCACAATGTCAACCTTTTAAGTCATAATTAAATTTTTTTGTCTTATAATTTTCAACTTTACAAAGTCACAATTTCCTTTGTTTCCTTTATGAGTGACTCTGTTTAAAAGAAATCAGTGAATGATTCAGTGATTCATTTTGAAAGGGTTTGTTTCAATTTCAAACAAATGAGCCATTTTAAGTGAATCATTTGAGTGATTCAGTGAATCACTCGTTCAGACAGGGGCCTGTGGAGCCCGCTGCTGCTTTTATTGTTATTTTTATTTATCCATGACTATATCTCTTTCCATTATTTAGACATCATTTTTTAAAGATTGCACAGTTAATATTGAATAATAGTAAATCTTGTTGACAGAGTTTACTTAAATAATCAATCACACTGTTCACTTTTTAGAGATGAACTTCATGTGTACTAGTTTTAGTGGTTTATGAGGACAGAAATGCATATGTGTATGAATATGACCTGGTATTACAACATTGCGGTGTTTTATAAGGACATGCCTTGTGTCCTCCTAATTCAAAACTCTTCAAAATCAGACCTAATTGCTTCTTTTCACATTCAAAGTTTCCTCAGTGTTTAGTTTAGGTGTAGGGTCATACAGTAAGTGTTTTTTACTGATAATAAAATAAATAACCCCTATGAAGAGTTCCCATATACCACCAATACCAGTATGTGTGTGTGAGATTAATTAATATCTTGATTTCTTTACAGCTTTACCAAACGTGGAGCTGAAGAGCAGAAAAACCTGTTTCTGGCGGCGTCAGAAAGGAAGTCCGGACACGTATCTGGCTACGATCGAGGCCATTTACTACTTCCTGAAGGACCTGCACTGCCACTACTTCTGCGAGTACACGGGAGAATACGACAACCTGCTGTTCTTCTTCTCATTCCTGCACAAACTCATCAATAAAGCCAAACAGGCTGCTGGGAAAGCCTGAGAAAGACTCCACAGCGGCTGATGCGGCTGTTATTTCAACATTTTTATTTACAAGTCAATCGTGCATGCACATTTCCAGTGTGTGAGACAGTGACTGGCTTCTTGTTTTTAAGGCACTTGAGCGTGTGTTTGTAATAAAGGGTTTCTCTGAGCGCTGCTGTCAGTAAAAGGCCTCTCGGATCTTCGCCTGCAGGCTATCGCAGGTTTTCTTAGCGTCTCCCAGAAGCATGGCGGTGTTGGGTTTGTAGAAAATGGGGTTATCCACGGCGGCGTATCCCACACCGAGAGTCCGCTTCATCACAATCACCTGCACAAACATCAAGGTTATTGTAGTAAAACTACAATATTCCAATTCACAAGGTTCCAATTCACATGCTGTCCATACTAAACAGTACTTAAAAATCGAAATAGGGTGTAGTAAATTACAGCGTTAATAAGTGAACACCAAAGGTTACCGCATACGTTTCTACCTTAGAGGTTTTGTCTTGTTTCTAGTCCAAATTTCGAAACATTCTTAAATCAAGAAGCATTTTCTAGACAAGCAAATAATATAGTCTTGTCTTCATAAATAATCAGTCAAAATGAAGTGAGTTTTCCTTTACACAAGCAAAATAATCTGTTTAAAGTAATCTCGTTTAAAAGCAAAAACAAAAAGCTTTATTAAATGAACTCTCCACTTTTTTTGGAAATCAGCTTTAACAGCTCTCGAGTTAAACAGGTGAGTTTTACCATTGTTGAGGGACTATTTTCAGGTGCTGCATAATTTCATTGCTAAGCAATGCATTGACAAGCTTAAAAAGTAAAGTACTTTTTTAAAAGAAATAACGGCAGATCATAATGGATTACTTTGCTAACAAAGTAACAGTTACTTTTTAAAGACTTTTCCCCAGATGGTATTAGATTAATTTTCCTAAAAAGTAATAGTTACATTACTTTTTTAACAGGAGTAACACCAAACTTTAATGCTTTAATTTGCTTAAAAATATAACAAAATAAGTAACATTACTTTTAACAGAAGTACCATTAAATTGTGATGGATTACTTTGCTATAAAAGTAACAAAGTAAAAAAAATTTTAAACCAGTTACACCAGATTGTAAAGGATAACTTTGCTTAACAATGTAACAGTTACATTATTTTTTTCAGAAACACCAGATTGTAATGCATTACTTTCCTTAAAGTTACAAAGTAACAGTTACCTTTAAAGACTTAACCCTAGATGACAATAGATTACTTTTACTTAAAGTAACCGTTACATTACTTTTAAAAGAAGTAATGCCAGATTTAAATTTTTATTTGCTTAAAAATATATTAAAGTAACAGTTACTTCTTAAAAGTAATGCCAGGTTGTAATGGATTACTTTGCTAACAAAGTAAGTTACTTTTTAAAGATTAAACCCAAGATGGTAAGTCATTACTTTTCTTAAAAAGTAACAGTTGCTTTACTTTTTAACAGAAGTAACACCAGATAGTGATGGATTACTCTGCTAACAAAGTAACAATTACTGTTTAAAGGGTCAACCGTGTATGGTAATAGATTACTTTTACTTAAAGTAATAGTTACATTACTTTTTAAAGATGTAATACCTTTATGTAATAATTAATACTTTTATTTGCTTAAAATATATCAAAGTAACAGTTACTTTACTTCTTAAAAGTAACGCCAGATTGTTATGGATTACTCTGTTAATAAAGTAAAGTAACAGTTACTTTTTAAAGACTTAACCCCAGATGGTAATTGATTACTTTTACTTAAAGTAATAGTTACATTAATTTTAAAAGAACTGATGCCAGATTTTAATGCTTCTATTTGCTTAAAAATATAACAAAGTAACATTTACTTTACTTTTTAAACAAAGTAACACCACCTTGCGATGGATTACTCTGCTTAACAATGTAACAGTTACATTTTTTAATGCCAGATTGTAATGGATTTCTTTCCTTAGATTACTTCACTTTAAAAAATAACAAAGTAATGTCAGATTGTAATGATTACTTAGTTTAAAAAATAACAGTTATTTTTTTAATATAATGCCAGATTGTAACGTATTACTGTTATTAAGGTAACAGTTACTTTTTAAAAGGAGTAATGCTAGATTGAAATTTATTGCTTCACTTCAAAAGTAATAAAGTAACAGTTACTTTTTTTTAAAAGTACCCCCATATTGTAATGCATAACTTCACTTAAAAAAGTAACAGTTACCTTACTCATTTAAAGTAGTAATGCGAGATTGTAATGCATTACTTGACTTAAATAACAAAGTAACAGTTACTTTTTAAAGAAGTAACCCCAGATTGTAATGGATTACTTTTAAAAGTAACTTTCCCCAGCTCTGCCACAGAACAGTTCGCACCTGTTTGGACTTCCACACCTCCAGCACTGGCATCCCAGCGATAATAGAGTTTGGATCCTCCTGTGCGGCTGAGTTTACAGTGTCATTTGCTCCGATCACCAGTGTCAGGTCCGTCTCTGCACACACACACACACACACACACACACATAAAACAATAGCAGCGCTCTATTAGTGGCTCTCATGCGATGGTGTCGGCTTTCCTCTCTGCTCTTCAAGCTTATCTGCAGCAGCTAACCAAAAACACATGCTGTCCTCCGAGCGCAGACACACAGAAGAACAGGCTCGCATGTCTAGGCACAATTACATAATCACAATGAATTATTACAAAGATCAGAGCGCTGTAGGACAGCAGATGTGTCCTGACCGCAGTCGGACACTGATATACAGCGGATCATCCATCTGTATCTGAACACACTGATCCACAGCCACTGCAAACGCATTCATAATCGTTCTGTCTCAAACAAACACTGATTTTCATCTGTTAATCCTGAAAAATATGTATGTTGTCTACATTATCTAATACTGATAATACACAGCAAAAATACTTTTCTTTACAAGAGTTTTTGTCTTGTTTCAAGTCCAAATATCTCAAAATTCTTAAATGAAGATGCATTTTCTGGACTAGTTCAAAATATATCCTTGTTTACAGAAATAATGAGTCAAAATGAAGAGAGTTTTTCCTTAAAACAAGCTAAATCTGCCAATAATGAGGTAAACAAAATAATCCTGTTTTTGAAATAACATTATTTTGCTTGTTATTTTGGAAAAACTTACTCACTTTTAGCATATTTATAAAGATATTTGATGAAATAAAAGCTGTTTTTGCAGTGCGTGGGAAAAAATATTCTGCTGTGGACTCAAATTTTTCTGTAATAACCAAAACAAACCATACAACATTTCTATCATAGTTCATTAAACAGAACACAATTAGTATGATCACTGTTTTGAAGGTGCTGTAAGTTTCTGACTCTATACTGCAGCTATACTGCTGAAGTCAGATATTCTGCTTTGAGTGTGCAGGAACGACTGTCTTTGGTCTCTTTAACCTGCCCAATGCCAATTTAGCCAATTATATTTCAGCACCCCGGGTTGCCAGATGGTGGAAAACAGCGCATTTCATTCAGCCCGTCATAAGGCTGTCTAAGCATGCGTCCATGACCAAACTGTGACCTCTGGTGGACAGTAGCAGACTCTGAAATGAGCCGCAGATTCAGAGTTCCACATGAGGCTATTAATGAGCAAATAATATAGTGCACTCACTGCACTCCAGCACAATGCTGAGCTTTATCATCTAATGAACACATATTAAAGCTCTTGAACATGATTAAATGTAGATGCTGAATCACTCATATGTGTTGGTTTGCAGTTCTAGAGTTCAGTTTCAGACGCTGAGCTGAACTATCTGCTGCTGCTGTCAGTAGCATGGCAATAAATGTCATGTCAGACTCACATTATGAGCATTGAACACTGAATAAAGCACATGAGCTGTAGCTGAGCTGAGCATTGTCAGTTTTCTGTTGTTCAGCTGAAATAGAAAACGTTTCTAATATGTCAATTTCAGCTGTTGGTTATGACAAAAACTCCTGTAATATGGAGAATAATCCTGTTGCGTGCTGCTGCTTTTATTTACAACACAATTTAAATCAGTGTTTTGTCTCGATTGTCAGGCACGCTTCTGTTGGTGTCGTCAATCTGGCAACCTGCACTTGCATGTGTTTTGATCCAGGAGTGCAATACCTAGCTCAACCACTGGGTGGCAAACTTACAGACTGCACCTTTAATATTCATTCACTCATTTTCTTTTCGGCTTAGTCCCTTTATTATTCAGGGGTCGCCACAGTGGAATGAACTGCCAACTTATCCAGCATTTGCTTTACATAGCGGATGCCCTTCCAGCTGCAACCCATCACTGGGAAACATCCATACACACTCATTCACGCACACACCCATACACTACGGCCAGTTTAGCTTATTTAACTGACCTATAGCGCATGTGTTTGGACTGTGGAGGAAAACACCAACACGGGGAGAACATGCAAACTCCACACAGAAATGCGAACTGACCCAGCCAAGGGAACCAGCGACCTTCTTGCTGTGGGGCGACAGCACTACCCACTGCACCACTTGCTTCTTTAATATGATTTACTTTATTTTATGTGATTCATTTCATTTTAATTGAATTTCTACAATATGATTTAAAAAAAAAGATTATCCAAAACTGTCAACATTAATCATAAAATACATTAAATAAATATATATTAAAAGCAGTGATCATACTGAATTTGAATCTGTTTGAAAACTATGAACAAAATATTGTCATCAAATGTGTAAAATCCAGTGGTTTAAAGAACAGTGGCAAAATGTAAAGGCTTCAAATGACAATTACTGAGTATTTTGGCCAAACTGTGCTCCTTATAATCTTTTAATACGTCATCAAACATTTCAAAGAGTTTTCACAGAACTATTTTTCATACTCTACAACATTTCCAGGCAGTCTCCACACAAATCAGCAGTGAGATTGATGATATGTGTTATTTTGTGCTCACATGAAAGGCGCACACTCTAATGCGCATGAGCAGAATAATGCTGATTAATGAATATAACGAGTTATTTATCAGTTATTTAAACACAGATGTAATTGATGGCCGCATCTGATTAGTGCTGATGGGCTAAATCAAGCAAGCATAAGCAGTTGTGTGTGTCTAATATAATCAGTTTAATGAGCAGCACAAATCAAGCTGACCTGGGAAATCATCATTGATTTCGTCCATCTCCAGAACCACATCATACGGCACTCCGGCCTCCGCCAGCAGCACATTCAGCTGCCCGGGCATCCGGCCCGCCACTGGGTGGATCCCAAACCTGCCCCAGAAAACACAGCAGAAAATCTACATCTCAGTCAGGGACGGATTAAAAGAACTCCAAGCACAATAGACTGCAAACATGCTTCTCTTTCTTACAGTTTTTGTCTTGTTTTGAGTCCAAATAACTCTTTAATCAAAAAACTTTTTGTTTAGAAAAGCAAAAATTAATTTTATTTTCATAAATAATGAGTCAAAATAAAAGTAAAAAAGAGCAAAATAATCATTGTTTTCTGACTGAAATAACATTATTTTGGTTGTTTTAAGGAGAAACTCTGAAAACAAGGCAATATTTTTATTATTGTATTTAGAAACCAGGCAAAAACTCAAAAAAATATATGGAATAAAATAACAGATAAAATAAAACAGAAAATAGGAAAACCTTAGATACAGGAAAGAAATATCAATAGAAAAAAAAAAGATTTACAGCAGCGCTCGCCCCCTTTTAAAATTATTATTTTTATCCATTTTTCAGTAAATATAGATGATATATTTTAGTGCCTTTGAACTAAACAGATTCATTAAACAGGTATATTTGTTAAAATAATGCTATAATAAAATAAAATAATAGAAAAATAATACACATTAAAAATATTGCAAAAACAAATGACAAACTGCAAAATGTAAACTAAATATTTTTTATTTCTCTTGATTTTTCCTCTTAAATTTTTTATTTATTTATTATTTTCCCAAATATAATACAGATTCTAAACATATTCCTGACACGGTCGCCTCACAACAAGAAGGTCGCTAGTTTGAGTCCCGGCTGGGTCAGTTGGTGTTTCTGTGTGGAGTTTGCATGTTCTCCCCGTGTTGGCGTGGGTTTCCTCCGGGTTCACTTTAGTTCACCTGTGCTCAATTCAGCTGATGGACATGATCTGAAAAGGCTACAGCTGTCTATATAAGGGCCCAGGGTTGACAGTGCATGACAAAGCACAAACCAAGCATGAAGACAAAGGAATCTCTGTAGACCTCCAAGGCTGGGGAAGGTTAAAGAAACATTTCTGCTGCTCTGAAAGCTCCATTGAGCACAGCGGCCTCCATCATCCGTAAGTGGAAGATGTTTAACCAGCAGGACTCTTCCTAGAGCTGGCCGGCCATCTAAGCTGAGTGATCAGGGAGAAGGGCCTCAGTCAGGGAGGTGATCAATAACCCGATGGTCACTCTGTCTGAGCTCCAGCGTTCTTCTGTGGAGAGAGGAGAACCTTACAGAAGGACAACCATCTGTGCAGCAATCCACCAATCAGGCATCTGTATGGTAGAGCGGCCAGACGGAAGACACTCCCCGCCTGGAGTTCACCATCTGAAGGACTCTCAGAGCATCAGAAACTAAACTCTCTGCTCTGATGAGACTCAAACTGAACTGTTTGGAGTGAACGCCAGGCGATACGTGTGGAGAACAGCAGGCGGCGCTCATCAGCAGGCTAACAGCATCCCTACAGTGAAGCATGGTGGTGTTGGCATCATGCTGTGGGGATGTGTTTCAGCAGCAGGAACTGGAAGACTAGTCAGGATAGAGGGAAAGATGAATGCAGCGATGTACAGAGACATCCTGAATGAAGACCTGCACAAGAGTGCTCTCCACCTCAGACTGGGGCGATGCTTCATCTTCCAGCAGGACAATGACCCAAAGCACACCGCCAACATATCAATGCAGCGGCACAACAACAACTCAGTGAGTGGCCCAGCCAGAGCCCAGACCTAAATCCTATTGAACATCTCTGGAGAGATCTGAAAATGGCTGTACACTGTCGCTTCCCATCCAACCTGATAGAGCTTAAGAGGTCCTGCAAAGAGGAACGGGCCAAAATTCCAGAAGACAGGTGTGCAGAGCTTGTGCATCATATTCAGAAAGACTTGAAGCTGTAATCACTGCCAAAGGGGCATCAACAGAGTATTGAGCAAAGCCTGTGAATACTGATGTACACCTGATTTATCTGCTGTTTTATTTGTAATAAATGTGCAACAATTTCTAAAACTCCACATGGTCATTATGGGGGATTGTGTGTAGAATGTTGAGGAAATCAATCAGTTTAATCCATTTTGGAATAAGGCTGTACATAAACACATGTGGAGAAAGTGAAGCGCTGTCGATGCTCTCCACATGCACAGTATATACAGCATAGGCATAACTTAATCACATAACAGATTCAACACTTCCTAAATGATTACTTCATAAATAAATACTTTCAATAGAGTTTTACCCTTAAAAAACTTTCTTTATGTGCCTAGAAACTCAGAAGTCCCTATTGATATCTTTAAAGTCCCCTAAACTGTTGGCCGATTACAGCAGGACAGCTTCATTGTTTTTCTTTCGACACATTCAGAGTTGAGATAATAACACTGACTCTTCCCTGTATTGGTCACTGGCCCTGATATCAATATTGTGCATGTTCATTATCCCCATTTATTGAGTTATTGAACATCTGCGGCTCCGCTCTCCTGCTTTATTTACAGAATGGCCTCAGCTTTTATCAGACGCAGATGTGTTTGAGTCGTGTTTCTAACAGAGTTACGCCGCTGACCTGCCAAGCGCTGGAGACAGACGCTAAAAACACTGGATGAGGAGTGTGAGAACGGAGTGTGTGATTATTTCTGGAGCTTGTTTTGCTCTTTCTCTGGTTTCAGAGGTGCTGGACTGACCTCACAGACTTTCCCTGCTCACGGAGCATCTTCACCATATCAGCGATGGGATACTGAGCCTTCGCCGCGCACAGACCCCAGCCTGTCATGAAGAAACACACACACACACACACACACACACACACACACACACACACACACACACACACACACAGAGGTTGTTTAAGTAAAAATATTTATATTTGTTTTGAGCATGATTTTGTTGTGCACCCTCTCACACTCACACACTCTCACTCACAGACACACACACACTCACTCATACACACACACAGGCACTCTGATACACACACGCACTCACACACATATACATACTCTTACACACTTTCTCACACATTCTCTCTCTCCCACACACACACACACACACACACACACACTCTCTCTCTCTGGAGTGCGCCTGAGGAATCCCCGAACCCCGGGCTGAAGCTGGACCTGCACATTTGCTTCAGGTTTGCAGTAATAAGCGCAGCGGCGTGTGGAGAATTGTGTCATCAGACGTTCAGGGAATCCGCATGATTGGCTGCAGACGGCAGAGTTTCCTGACCGCCAGATGTGTGTGTGTCGGAGCATCGCGTGTGGAGACCAGACACGCACATATGCAGCCCGTGCCCGGGGTCACACAACACAAGGAGAACATGCATTATGTGTGTGTGTGTGTGTGTGTGTGTCAGCATACTTTTTGAACATTGATGTAAAATAAAATAAAAAAGCTGCATGGTGGCGCAGTGGGTAGCACAATTGCCTCACAGCAAGAAGGTCGCTGGTTCGAGTCTTGGCTGGGTCAGTTGGTGTTTCCGTGTGGAGTTTGCATGTTCTCCCCGTGTTGGTGTGGGTTTCCTCCGGGTGCTCCGGTTTCCCCCACAGTCCAAACACATGCGCTATAGGAGAACTGATCAACTACACTGGCTGTACAGTATGAGTGTGAATGTTTCCCAGTACTGGGTTGCAGCTGGAAGGGCATCCGCTGCTTGAATAGTTGGCGGTTCATTCCGCTGTGGTGACCCCTGATTATTAAAGGGGCTAAGCCGAAAATAAAATAAATAAAAGAATAAAAATGAAATAAAATTCACCACAGCGGAATGAACCGCCAACTATTCCAACATTTGTTTTACACAGTGGATGCCCTTCCAGTTGAAATCCAGTACTGGGAAACAGATCAGTTCCCCTATAGCGCATGTGTTTGGACTGTGGGGGAAACCGGAGCACCCGGAGGAAACCCACACCAACACGGGGAGAACATGCAAACTCCACACAGAAACTGCCGGGACTCAAACCAGCGACGTTCTTGCTATAAGCCACAGTTTCGCCTAAATTCCATAGAATTATTTAAAATATGAGGGTCAATAAGACTACAAAAAGAATAATATGATATGACTTGATGCATAATTATGATTATAATCAGCTAACAGTTACGAGGTTTGTCACGACACTGACATGTTAGAAGCTGTAAGTAAAACTTTATAGCAGAATAATCTATATTAACTTCTGCTGTTTCCCTGCATGTGTGTCCAGCGTTTCCTTCAGTCACAGAAACTGGAGTGAATCTCATCAGGTGATGTTTATATCAGATCTAAAGCATCTTCAGCAGATTCAAACTCTGACACGCTACCATATTAACCGGCCACTTTATTAGGTACACCTCACTAGTACCGGGTCGGGTTAGGGTTAGGACCCCTTTTGCCTTCAGAACTGTCTTAATCCTTGGTGTCAGAGATTCATCAAGCTGCTGGAGATATTCCTCAGAGGTTTTGCTCCATATTGTCATGATAGCATCACACAGTTGCTGCAGATTTGTCGGCTGCACATCCATGATGCCAATCTCCCGTTCCACCACATCCCAAAGCTGCTCTATTGGATTGAGCTCTGGTGACTGTGGAGGCCATTTGAGTACAGTGAACTCATCGTCATGTTCAAGAAACCAGTCTGAGATGATTGAGCTTTATGACATGCTGCGTTATCCTGCTGCTGTAGCCCATCCGCCTCAAGGTTGGACGTGTTGTGTGTTCAGAGATGCTCTTCTGCAGAGCTCGGTTGTAACGAGTGCTTATTTGAGTTACTGTTGCCTTTCTATCAGCTGGAACCAGTCTGGCCATTCTCCTCTGGCCTCATCAACAAGGCATTTGCGCCCACAGAACTGCCGCTCACTGGATATTTTCTCTTTGTCGGAGCATTCTCTGTAAAGCCTAGAGATGGTTGTGCGTGAAAATCCCAGTAGATCAGCAGTTTCTGAAATACTCAGAGCAGCCCGTCTGGCAGCAACAACCATGCCACGTTCAAAGTCTCTTAAATCCCCTTTCTTCCCCATTCTGATGCTCGCTCTGACCTGCAGCAGATCCTCTTGATCATGTCTACATGCTGAAATGCAGTGAGCTGCTGCCCTGTGATTGGCTGATTAGAGAAGCCTGTTAACCAACAGCTGGACAGGTGTACCTAATAAAGTGACCAGTGAGTGTGTATGTGTGTTGAGAATGTGTATGTGTGTCTATTTTGAGTATGTGTGTGTGTGTGTGTGTGTGTAATAAAAGAGCTTTAGAAATAAATGGACTCATTTGCAGCTGATGGTGTGTGTGGAGATTAATGAGTGCCTGGAAGACAGCGGGAGAAACAGGTGTGTGAGTGTGTGTGTGGTATAAGTTTGTTTGATTGTGCGTTTGCATGAGCGTGTGTCCTTGTGTATGTGTGTGTTTCTGTTCGTGTGTGTGTGGTTCTGTGGAATTGTACTTTTGCATGTGTTTTTTGTGTGTGTGCGTGGGGGTTTCTGTGTATGTGTGTGTGTGTGTGTGCTGAAGTTTGTGTCTCAGTGCGCGCTGCTATCCCATCATGCTCTGTCAAACACTGCCCTCTAGTGTCAGTAATAATTCAGCATCAGAGTTTGTTTCTCCATCCCTCAGCTTTGACAAACCCTCACACTGAACATTAATGTGATCAGCAAACACACACACCTTTGTTTGTTTGTGTATCTGTGTGTGTGTGTGTGTGTGTGTTACTGAGAGAGAGAGAAAGTATATGTGTGTGTGTATGACTGTGCACTTGTGTATGTGTTTGTTTGTGTGTGTGCATCTGCGTGTGTTTGTGCATGTGTATGTGTGTGTGAGTGTATGTGAATGAATGTGTGTTTAAATGTGTGTGTGTGCATATG